CTAGACAAACTACATAGACAACATACCTCTCCCAAACACAAGTTTAATACTACCGGATCCAAGGCCTACACCTCCTCCCAAACTTGACCCTTCGGCAGATACAACTCCCACTTCATACCTTCCCACCCACTCGAAAAAAACAGGTTAATAATAATAGAAAGTCTACATAGCGTTCAACTGCAAAGCCTTCAATTCAACCTCGGTCCTAAAATAAAGTCACTAACGTCAAACAAGTCCTACCTCACCATACGTCACCTCTCCCTGAACACCTCTACTCTTCGACCTACAGCAGCCGTTTCGTCACCTTACTTCCAAGGGGTACTGCACGGCCTAATACACTGTTCCCCCCTTCGTCCATTTCTCTTTTACTTCTCCGTCCTCCCCGGCTCTTTGACTCGGAACTCCCTGTGGAACCCCATCTCCTCGCCACTCCCTAAACGTCAAAACTGACCTACTTGACCAAAGACAGTCTCTCCATACCTTACACTTGGTTCTCTTCTGCTCCCGTCACGGCCACTACAACTTCACCAAAGTTCTGCCCACCTCCTACCTCCTAACTACACGCTTCCCGTACGCGACTCCCAGTTCCTCCTACTCCTACAAACTCCAGGTCTTACCAGGTGAAATTCCTCAAACACAGTCCAGTTACCCGATATGTCGACCCGGCGAAAAATCAGAAGGCGGGGTAATAACCCCTTGTTTCCTCCAGATTTGACGTGGAGGAGACGAGGTCCAATGCACGCGACCGTACATACACTCACGTGGTCCTCGGAGGGGTCCCCAGGGACGCGTTAGATGTGCTCGATACCGACACAGTTGTCGGAATAATAAATCGTCGACACCTCCTGTACACGTGCCACCGCAGAACCAGGTGCAGGTGCCGCGGAAGTATTCCAAAAAATAGAGAACCTGTACAAAACCAGAGGAAGGAGTACAGACTGGGGGGGGTGGGGGCCTTATTACGTGAATACCAAAGGCGTACGAAGGAATCCCTGGGCTCTTTTATGTATCCAAGCGTCACTCGGGGTAGTGTCCCGAACTCCTGACACGGATTCCCGTTCCCGTTACCCCCGAAGGAGTGACAAAAAAGGTACGTGTGGGAAGCGCTCCCACCTTCTTCCACCTCAAAAACATCGCCCGTCTACGTCCATCCCTCTCTCCCACTGCTGCCGAAACCCTCATCCACGCCTTCATCACCTCCCGTCTGGACTATTGCAACAGCCTCCTCTATGGTTCACCTGCAAAAATCCTCAACAAACTTCAATATATCCAGAACTCCGCCGCCCGTCTACTCACCCACACCCGAATCCGTGAACACATTACACCCGTCCTCATCAAGCTCCACTGGCTCCCCATCCCCCAGAGAATTCAGTACAAGATCCTCCTGATGACGTACAAAGCCCTCCATAACCTGGCCCCATCCTACCTGACTGACCTCCTCCACAGACACTCTCCCACTCGCTCCCTCCGCTCTGCCACTGCCAACCTCCTGTCCCTCCCCACTCGGACCAACCTCAAGTCTTGGGGCGACAGAGCCTTCTCCGTTGCTGCACCCATCCTCTGGAACTCACTACCCCAATCCATCAGAGATTCTTCCTCCCTCACAGCATTCAAAACATCACTCAAAACCCATCTGTTCAACACTGCATTCAACCACTGACCACCCCACTCCCCCCGTATTTTTTTTTCTGTTTTGTATTTCTTTGTCTTTTTTTTGTTGTGTTCTCTTAATTCTCTGTCAAAGCGTCTTTGAGTTTCATGAAAAGCGCTATAAAAGTCCCATGTATTATTATTATTATTATTATCATTCTATATTTGAATAATATAGTGTAGGACCATACCTATATAAAAGGCATATTTATACTTTTTATTTTTCAAAATACCAAACAGATCATGCATTTTAGCCATTCCTCATTTCGCTCAATTTAACACTGTCTTTGCATGGGCTGATTCTGTGAGAACAGCACCATCTGCAGGCCGGGCATATGTACTACAGCGTCTCCAGCGCTTTCGAACGGCAATGTCCGTGGCTGTCTCCTCCTGATTGGTAGAGTTGGCCCAATACCCGTAGCGCCACTTCTGTGACGTCATAGAAGTGTTCAAATCTGGATCAGTCTGTATCAGATCCGTTGCAGCCCCTTTTTAAGAGATTTGGGTAAGGAGGAAAATAGAGAGGCTGTGTTTTCTGACACTTGGTGAGTTCCCTGGAACACCGGGACACATATTCATGTATAAAAGACGTACAAACATTTTGCATGATAGGTCACCTTTAAGTTCTTGGGAACAGGGATGGGTTCACCCTGAGTGTCACCCCGCTACGGTCACCCCAGATCCACAAGCAACTCGGGTGTACCGACAGAGCGGTCAGTTCGGACACTCTCTTGGCCGAAGTCAGGGCCAGCAGCAACGCTGTTTTAAATGACAGCTTCTTCAGGGAGGAGAGCTCCAGAGGCTCAAATGGTTCTGTGACCAGAGCCTCGAGCACCAACGGCAGGTCCCATTGCGGGGCGGAGGCGTGAAAAAAAAACGCAAATACTTTCTATGTCTTGGAACAATTTCGACATGAAAGTAAGCATCCTTCAGGTCGATGGTTGTAAACCAATCGCCCGGCTGCACCAGTCCCAGTAACTGTTTCACAGTTAACATCTGGAATTTTTTGCAGGCGATGTGCCGATTTAGGCTGCGGAGATCTACAGTAGGATGGGTCTGAATTCTCCTGTCTTCTTGGGAAACAGGAAGTACATAGACTAAAGCCCCCTCTCCCTGTGCTGGGGGTGCACAACAGACACTGCTTGTTTCTGTAACAGGTTTTCTTTCAGCAGAGATTCAGACCCTATCACCTCCTGGGATGGTAGATTTGTCTCTTATGCCGCTGAAGAGAGGAGGGATGCTGCAAAACTGAATTGTATAACCCCATTTCAGCGTCCTGTCCATCCACTCTGTTAGTACACAGCTGTGCTTCCATTCCGCATAACATTGTGTTAGGGGATGAGCAAACAACTGGGGAGCCACAGCTAGCAAGCCGTGGTAATCCCTGGTGACCCGCCCACTCCACCGCAAAACTCCCCATGAAAGGAAGTTCTGCCCATGGGGGGCTGACACAGAAAGGGCCTCTGATTTTCTACTGAGGTCCCTGAACCCACCACGGCGCGTACCCGCAACCGATTCTGAGCCGGGTCAGCGGGACGGACAACGGAGGTGGAGGGGGCAGCGGGAGCCGAGGGGGCTCTACACAGTCGCCTCTCTCCTCCTCATCGAAGCACCGCGCTCTCTCCGCTGCGGAGGAGCTCGAGGAAGAGCCAGCGGAAGCATACAGCTGAGCTACAGCCTCTCTTCCTCCAGGCGGCGGAAGCGCTGGGTGACCGACGTGATCGGCCCAAAGAACCCCTCCGTGGATACGGGGGCCCCAAGGAGATCCTCGCGGTCCTTCCTGGACAGCGCAGTGAGTCCCAGCCACACGTGACGTGACGCCACCGCGGCCAGGGACATCACTCGGCCAGCAGCAGCGGCTACACCGTGGGTCAGATTGTTCATCTGACCAATACAGCGGTCCGAAAAATCGCTCCAATCCTGAGGCAGGGGCGACCTGCTGAGGGGAAATCAGAGAGACGCCCAACACACCGACATTATTGGCCGCTGCTGCCATCTGTCGAAATACTCCAGCATTTCCTGGTCACAAGGCAGCGCGGGGCAGAGGCTTTTTCCCCTCCGTCCATCCGGCTGCTTTCGGAAGCAGATGGGTCGCCAGGCACTCATCAAGGGGGCCCTGCACCCTCAGGATACCTGACATACCTGCCACTGGAGCCCTCGTTCTCAGTGGCTATCGCCACATCGCCTCCACACACTGCAAGATGTCTGGCAACGGGGGCGAAACGAAGGCCGGCTGCGCGGTAGTGGCGGGGGGAGCGGTAATCCTACACGCTCCGCCGCGATAGCCATCACCGATGGGAATTCCTGACGTGCGGACCTGTGTGGCGGCCCGTCCTGGGTGCCGGAACCGGAAGCACCCATATATACATATACAAGTTACTTGTTAGACGCTTTTATCCAAAGCGACTTACATATTCAATACTGTGGACAATCCCCATAGGAGCAATTTGGGGTGAAGTGTCTTGCCCAGGGACACAACAACATACTGACTGCAGTGGGGTTTGAACCTGTGCTCCCCTGATCCGAACACCAACGCTCTATCCACTGCACCACACACCACCCGACATCGAGGAACCCTCGTCGTCTTCCTCCTCAACGAATGGCGCCCCCTCAGCCGCATCCTGTCCTCCATCTCCACCACCTGGAGGTCCACGAGGTCGTCCGTTTCCTCCGGCAACACATAGTAGGCCTGAAAGTGCTCCATGCGGTGCCAGCGGCTAAGTTGTGCTAGCATCCAGCAGGCATTACAGGAGGGAGACTGCAAGCCGTCCCCGGCGTGTTCAGGCCCCAGACACTCGAAACACAGGCGGTGGGGATCGGCACCTGCGATGAGGCCGTTGCACGTAGGACAGGGTCGGTGCTGGTGAGTTTGCCAATCTTTGCTCGATCTTCTTCTCTTTCGCTATCTCAGTTGTTTATCCTGCTCGCTGAAGAGAAAAGGATGACGGTCGGGAGGCGAGGCCGCCTCATATACTGTGGGCCTGCGCGCACTCAGGTAGGCCCGCCCCCGGGGGCCGGCTACGTTTATAAATATCTCAGTAGGTGAACGCTTGCATAATAAGGTCAAGGGCAGTACCCATAGAGCAAAAAAAACAAAACCCTGCAAGAAGCTCAGAACACAATGACACTAAAAGTGACGCACACAGCTGGGACCGGAGCACCTGATGTTCTGGGATTATAAAGTTGGCAGAGTAAGTATGTATCATATTGTTAAGTGTTAAATCAGTATATGTTAAATGCTACGTTAGCTAGCTAGCTTACTGCAGATCTGCAATAAAATCAGAAGGATATATTATATTTTCATTTTACGTAACATTTTATGTTATCCAGTGACAGTGGGCCAATTTTATAATCCCTTAACATCAACAAGGACTCTGTGTTTCCGTTGTGTTTTGAGGTTTTTGCAGCACTTTATATTAACCTTGCGCATGTTTTATCATGTCGATGAAGATGTTTCTTCATTTGCATGTGTTTGGGTTTTTATATTCTAGTTCTCTATCTGTTTTTTATTTTTGTTTTACTTTTGTGTTTGCACCATGATATCAAGTAAAATTCCTCGTACGTGTCAACCTACCTGGTAATAAACCTGATTCTTATTTGCATCGTATTTGAAACTGCACCATGTTTCTCCTAATGCAAGTGTTTTTAGCGTTTTTTCCCGTCGGCCACCGTAGTCTATGAAAAACAATCGTTGGTAGATTAAATGAAATAAATGAGCTGCGAAACATTTAATAATATTAATTGGTGATTTATTCAGGTCATAATTACACATTGTCTGAATTAAATATTGCCCCTAACATTTTGCACAAACAACTGGCACGGCAGTGCAAAACAATACAGCAGGTGGACGGATAAACGTGCTTTGATACAGATCATTTTCATCTTGTATTTGTACCACGGACCAATGAGAACACATGCTTTATGAGTACCATCGGACAATCCGAAAAAGAAGCTTGGAATATTAACAAATGTTCATATAAAAAAAGTCTCTGTAAATAAAGCACAGCCTTAGGATAAACATTACAGTGCATAAACTACATGCAGTCAAAAAAAGGACTAAACTCTGTATGCAGTAGTCTCCCATGGTTTAAAAGTACATGATCTCAGTGCTGTGACATGCCACATATCGGAAAGGGTAGCAAAATATTGTCAGTTTGGTCAGATTACAATGGAAAAACTACACAAAAAAATACTAAAATTAAGACATTTCATCCTGCATTGTAGTAGAAATTCCATTTTCTTCAGCAAAGACATGGGACAAGCCTCGCTGATTAAAACTTTAAAACAAAATGTTACATAACACCATGCCATCCTTTTCTAAATATTGCTAGTGGATGGATGTGCTGATACTAACGTTTCGACATGTTAAGTACATCATTACATTTCAAGTACATAAGCAGAATGTGTTCTTTGCTAACCTGTCAAGTGATGTATTGCTACTGTATGTGCAAGTGAAGTTAAAAAAACTAAAATCAAACATGAGAGTAGATCACAGTCGTCATAAACCGCTTTATAAAAACTCTTCAACTAAATACGTTGTGGCAATTATCTAACGTTTGGTGCTGTCCTTCAGCTTCAAGACAATATTTTCTCAATGGTTAAAAATAATTATCTTACACAACCTCAGGATGTAGAAGTGATTTCTCAGTCAGAGGAGCGCTGTGAGAATTTGAAATCATTATGTGAGATTTCTGCAAGATATGCAACTTAAAAAATAATCTGGACTGTATTGCAAACAAGTCTCTCGCTGTGTCTCTCACACTCAGTTCAAAGTCAGCCAGTTCTTAGAGTTTGAGCCTAAAAAAGACTTCACTGCTCTCTGGGGGGGACTGGGGCTGTCTAGGGAACGGGGTTCTGAGGGGGGCGAGCTGACTCAGCAGGTCCAGGCTGGTGCAGGGACTTTGGGCCACGCAACACGCGCCTTCAGGGTTCCCCCGCTCCTCGATGGGGTTAGTGAGACTTCCACAGCCCAGGTTGAAGCTGGCACTCCTGCCCTGGGCCAGGCCCTGGAGCCTCTGCCGCTCCTGGGCCTTCTTGGCCCTGTTTGCGATATAGCGCACCCTGCTTTGGCTCCTGGAGGAGGTCCTTCTCATCAGGGTCTCATCCACAAAGTTCTCCTGTGACTCTCTGGGTCTGGTTTCTGAGTTAAAGTCGCTAGCGGTCAGGGGCTCCACATCCGTCAGCTTCCGGAGCTGCTCTGTGAGGTGGCTGGTAGGCCGGGACTTCTGCGGACTCCCCCTGCGGAACTGGTCTCTGAGGGGACTGACGATGAAGCTACGGCTGATACTGCGGTACTTACTGTCAAAGTTACAGGAAATGTCATCGGAGGTCAGATCCCCGAGGCTTTTGGACATGGAAGCTGTAGCTATGTGGGTTTTAGCCGGAGGGGACGGCCTGCTGGGGGATGACTGCTTGAGCCCCTCCATGTAGAGCCGGCTCCAGGTGTGCCTCCTCTGGGTCAGTCTGTTCGGAGAGTCCACAGAAGCCTGCTCGGGGGGCTGAAGGGGGCGGGGCTTAAGCTCATCTCTCGGGCACTCGCTTTGCTGGAGATTGGGGTTGGACTTGCTCTTGCTGACTTGCGGAGTATCGTAGGAGACCAGCGCTGAGTGGCGGTAGTTGATCCAGTTTGGGTCACAGGGGCTGCTGGCTGTGGGGGGGCTGCTGAGGGTCTTCCTGGCCAGGTTAGGCAGGGAAAGGTCGATGACTGTGTCGCTGGAGGAGATGCTGGAGGAGGAGGACATGCTGTCTCGGTGACTGGCCGGGTCCAACTTGCTCCACAGGCGGTCGTTCATGGTGGCGTCGGTGAAGACCTGTGGTACTGCCGACTGCTCCGTGGAGGCTACAGCTACCAGGACATGGCCCTCACTTTTGGTTCTTCTTACCGGAGAGTGGGATGGCATGGAGCTAAAGAGGGCTCTCCTGGCTGGGGCTTTCTCAGGCGCGGGGGGTCGTGGAGGTTCTGTTACAGCGGCAGGCTTCACCCTGTGGTCAGACTTCACCTCCGCTGCTTCACGTTTCTTTTCTGTCAGGTTTTCTTTCTGGTTTGGTGAGCGCTCCATGAGAGAATCAGCGCCTCTGTTGTTCGGAACGACTTGTGATGGTTCAGTCTTCTCAGGAGTCAGAGGGAGCAACGTGGTTCTGGAATTAGTAGTTGGTTTCTTAGGGTCTCCGCTCACCCTGGTAGGAGAGTATACCGCACCGTTAGAAGGAGCGGCCAATAGGTGGTCTGCGTTTATTGCTGTGGATTGCAGTGAAGAGGATGAGGAGTGATGCGAAGACAGGCTGTCTTCTGGAGTGGAGACAAAACGGATGACTCGAGTAGTTCTGGCTGCGTCAGAGTGTAGTGAAAGAAGAGCTGGTTTCTGCACTGTGGAACAATCTGAGGAGAGACAGAGCACAAAGAACTATATTACTGTCTGCAGGGGTGGAACAAGTACTCATCTCTTACTTAGATAAAGCAGCAACACTAAATATAAAGAAATACTCTGTTATAAGTAAGCGTCTTGCATTCAAAATCTTAGTTAAGTTCAATAAAATAAACCCATTTCAGAATCATATATCAAAATATTATTATTGATGCATTATTTTGTTTTTTATCACAGCAGCTAAATGTGAAACTAATATCAATGAATGATCATGCTGCTGGATATTTTAACTTATAATTATATGTTCATGATTTTAAATTATATTTTGTTAAGTAACTAAAGCTGTCAAACCCGCCCAAAGTAAAAGAGTACAATATTATTATATATATATTTAGATATATACTAATAATAATATATTATATATATATACTATAGGTACTATATCTATATATATATATATATATACACACACAGCATGTACTGGAGAAGAAGTATAAAGTATTCTAAAGTTAGAAAATGCTCAGGTAAAGTACAAGGACCTCAAACCTTTACAGTACTTGAGTAAATGTACTTAGTTATCTAGTTACTTTGCACCACTGACTCTCTGGTAGAGAGTATATATAAAAGGATCAGCCTCATATTAACTTTGCAAAGACTAATCTGCTATGCAGAGAAAATGTAGGAGTTATATTGATAGAGCAACTTCAAGTGAAGGTCAAATGCTAAGTCAAGGACCAATTCCTGGCATTAACTGAGCCTTCAAATGACTTTGACTGACAAATGGTGCTGACCACAAAAGATGAATATTAGAGAAACTCACAGGGATGTCAGCCTTTGCAGAACGTTTACATGCAGAACAAGCTACATAACACACTACAGGGAAGGGAAACAAAGCCTAATAGGGCCCCTTTAAATGTTATACATAATTAGAGCTTTAATACAAAATCCAGACCATCAGGAAGTAGGTTTGTAAACTTTGAACTTATTTTCTCATGTGTTTCTTAACTAATCAATCTAAATGTATTTTGTTTTTGACCATGTTCCTGGATCTCACCATTTAACAGAAAAACACAAAACAGTGTACAGGCCACGACACAGACAAGTGATTCTTGTGATTCTGTGCACGACACAAAGCTTCATGAATAATGTTTTCCCCTCCCCACAGTGAGTGTCCCAGCACCGTTATACAAGTATGTAAACACACAGCTGCCTTTTGGTGAAAATTCAACAATGTGTGAAAATGTAGATTCATTGTAAATCCCTGTCATCCCCACAGGTGTGACACATGGGAAATGAAGCATTTTGGTGAGAAAGAGATGGGGAAGAGAAGGTGAAAGTAGCATGCGTTGAGCGGTTTACCTGGCTCTGGTCATCCCTTCAATTCTGCACTAGTGACAGAGAGAGCGTGCAGATGGGACAGAGAGGAAAAAGGATTTTAGCAAAACTGGAAAAAACAGGGAGAATGGAGGCAAGGACAGAGAAGCATCTGAACAAGAGAAGTTATCACATATTGATCTGCAAATCAACACCAGAAAAACATCACAGCTTTGTTCTACAGAGAAGATAACGTAGAGGTTCATCATGACATTTTTACTATCTGCCTGCACTATATTATAAACAGATGTCAGAACACATGAACAATTCCAAAGATATTTGTTTTTCCCCAATAGATTCATCACAAGATAAACCAAGAGACGCTGGTGAGCAGCAGGAAGTGGACTCTCCTGAAATATGTCCTGTGAGTGAGGAAGAGGAGTCTCCCCTGGACACAGCAGGGTCTTGTGACTTCCATCTGTTTAAACTGGTCTTAAATGAATACAACAACCATGAATCATCACTAAGCTGTGAACAATGTCTTACAATACATGAACAGCTGCAGTGAACATACAAAGAATACACACTGAAAGTGTATTCCAAAGTTAACATGGATATCGGTTTGTGGGTGTGTACTATCTGAGGGAATAACATCATCTATGGTAACCCATGCATTTCCTACTGTATGGCGGTCATATTTGACCGGGAACACCATAGGTGTGACAAAGTTGACTAAACCACTCAAAATTCAATCAAAGTGGTGGACAGCAGTTTTAAATGTTCAAAGTCCTACTGTGGAGGATATCAGAAGGCCTTGAAGCAATCAAATGTTAACAAAATATTTATGATTGATGAAAGTAGTAAATCTGTCAGATTGGACCCGAACACAACAGGAGTGTTAAAGATAGAGCCGCTGTATAGTTAAGTGGTTAGAGAAGGCGGCTCATGTTCTGGTAATAAGTCCCTGCTGCGGTGGACGCAGGTTTAAATCTGGACTGCGACGTCATCCCCTCTCTCACACTTTTGATGTTGTCACTCTCCAATGAAGGCTAATCCGGCCCAAAAAAACTAAAACAAAACTCTATTATTTATGGGAGGTTGGGTTCAATAAGGTCGTCCGCCAATCCAAAGGTTGTTGTTTTGATCCATAGAAGTCAACATGTCCTGTCCTTGGGGAAGATACTTTACCCCAAGTTGCTCCCGATGGCCATCAATGTGTGAGTGTGTGTCTATGTGTGTGTTAGTGTCCTGAGCAGGTGCACAGTCTATGGCAGCCTCTGAATGCTGACTTGTACATGAATAAGCGCTTTGAAGGGTTGCTAAGACTGGAGGAAATCACTTTATAAATGCAGACCATTTTCCATTTAGTTAGAGGCTGTCGTTTATAAGACTGCATGATCTTGAAAGCTATGAATTTAAATTCTTCATATAGAGATTAAATATCAGAAGTGATTTTCAGAACAGTGCAGCACAGCCCGATAGTTATATGTAAGTTATGAGAAGTCTATAGAGTACCTTGGTGACTAACATATGGTTCAGCAGACAGTACACCAAACACTGTCAAAGTTATTCTATGTTAGATAAATATAATTGAATTTTTCTGCATTTACTTGCTTATTGGTCACTTGCATGTTGTTTTGCACTGTTTTTGATGTCTTAAATATATATTTTTGTTGCATTATTTTAGGGACTTTGGACTTTTGGATTGTATGTGCTGTATTTAGTTTCGAGCTGCCCAGGGATTGCAGATGATGTTTAGCAAACCACTATAATCTGGTACAAAATATTTTATCTCTGAGATTTATGTTCATGGTCCCCGACAACTAAACCAAAAAACTTAACTAAACTAGTTCTATTCATTTTAGGTTCAAAACTTACCACTTCTCTCATCTGTCATGCATGGGCAGTGTCAGATACAGTAGTTTAGGATATAGAGAAAGCATTTACTAACATTTCTAGAATCAATTATTTGAAATCTTTTTAAGGCTTAGGTGAAAATAATAGCTCGAACTGAACTCTAATTGGGAAAGAAACACATGGGAGATCAGATCGGTCATTACGCTCTCAGGGACACGTGGGGATAACAAGGTGTACATTTAACGTAAAGGGATGATTCTGACAGCATTATGCTAACAAAGCTTCAGGGTATTGGGATGTATGGCAGCTAACTGAGGTCTACAGGAGACAACAGGTCCTCTACAGCCACCACTCAGCGTCTACTGGGTTTCTGCTAATGCTGCTAACGTATATCTTACCAGCGAAGAACATGGGAGTCTTATGGCGTAACTCTTCCATTTTCTGGGCGAACAGCGCGTTCATCTCGCGCTGCAGGGTGCCTACGGCCCTCTTACGGCTGTCGGGGACAGAGCAGGGGGGCAGCATGAGGGGGGACTCCAAGCTGCTCAGACTGCTAAAGCTCCCGCAGTTACTACAGTCGCTGAGTGACAGCCCTTCGTGCTGGTTAGCGAAAGGCGCTAACATTGAGGTGCTAACGGCACCGTAGTTGGGGGGCGTGGCCTGCTGCAAACAGAGGTTGGTTCTGCAGTCTGGGGTGGCGGGGCTTGGGCGGCTCCTCCGGGGGACACTGCAGGACCGGGGGCTCCTCTGCGGGGCGGCAGGCTGACGGCGGATGTGCTCAGCACCCAGAGTCTGCATGAGTTTGGATCTAGGGAATGGAATAGGTCGGGGGAGAGACTTGGGCGAGTTCTGAAACTGGGCCTCTGTGTTTGCCCTGGGGAGGGAGGGGGTCTGCTGGGGCTCTGAGTGGGTAGCGGGGGGCTGGGACATGGTTACAGGATCTGTCTGTCTCTTGATTGAGGAGGTGAGGCTCTCCTGTCTCTCCCTATCTTCCTGCTTGGATCCCTGCCTGTCATTCACCTTCCTCTCAGCCTCCGGACTCTCCTTGGAGCTGACCACACAGGTGATGCAGTTGGAGGAGATCCCCACCCTGCCTGTGCTATTCAGAGCCACGCGGGCAAACACCCCCTGCTTCATGTCCACAGGGTCATTAACGTGAGGCCGACTGGCCCGCTTCAGAGGCTCCGTCATGGCTGTTCGCCGAGCAGAAACATGGCTCTTACCTTTACCCTTTTCTGGGTGGAAAGCCCCGTTGGTGTCAGGACGCTCCCAGGGGCCCTTGGCTGGGTGGGATGCCAGAGATTCCCTGTTCTGTGGGGGTGTGGGCTGGTGAGAGGCGTCGGCAGAGGCCTTGTCTCTGTCCTCAGACTCCCGGTCTCCACTAGCACCCTCTGAACTGTAGTCTTTGGTGTCGATGGCGATCTCCGGGAAGCCCTTCTTGACTTTGGGCTGGCCTTTGGTGGGTGCGCTGGCGGTGCGGCGCAGGAGGTGGGCCCCGAACGGGTGCTTACGGCTGTGCTGAGCAGCAGCATGGCTGTCCAGGGAAGCCTGCTTTGGGTTTCTGTGAAACAGTCCTTTTATACCGGTGGCTGCTCTGGCCTGGCAAAAACAAAAAATACATCATCATTGTCAGAAACACAATGGATCTTAATCAAACAAAAGGATTAAGGCAAAGGTCATCCCGGGACAATAATTCATGTGGCACTAGCCCACACTGTATTATGCAATGATACATTTAAAGTTATTGTACAGTAAGCATGCTTAAACACATTAATATCCATTTACAGAATGATTCATCATTGTGTTTTACATGATCATTCAGCAGTCATTTGACCACATACACATCTATAATAGTTAATGAGTCAAACACATGCTTGAAGCTACGTGTCAATGTTTAACACGAAGAGCAGCCCAGACTGTGTGTACACTTACAAAATAAATCACATTTTGATACTTTCTAGTTGGTCAAACTTACACCATCAGAATAATGAAGATCCTTATCACATAGCATATTTGAATTTCAAAAAATGGTGGCTTTAAGATGATGGGAAAAATACAGATAAGATTTATTTTTTGTAAAATCAACATAAAAAGAGGTTACTGAAAACGTATCAGCAGAATAACAGTGTGGTTATTTGCAGTGCCTTCAGGTGCTGCATGGTGATGTGGGACGTCACAAACACACGACACGAGGGATGACAGTGATAAGGACACTCAGACAATGACATCAGTGACTGTGAAATCAAATGTCATTTGGGCGAGTTTAAAGAAATGCAAGATGGAGCTTCCGTAGTTACCAAAATCTATTGCCATGACTTGTCAATAAGCGTTTTAAACAATGTGAAAGTAGTGGATCCAAAGAGTCTGACAGTTGACCACTGTGGTGAAATGCTAACTGGACAACTTTTAACAGCAAAGCAACAATAAGACAATAGCAGAGAGAAAATAAGTATTGTGGGAAAGAATTATAAGTGAAGACTGAAGTGAACATGAGAGCCACATTCCAAACCGATCCCTACAAACTCCCATCTGTAGTCTGGCCCTCAGCTGAATGAGGCTCTTTATTTCAGGTGGGGGGTGTAAATAAATACAGCAGCAAACTTTGGGACAAACTCACCTCTCTCCGGCAGAAACAGGAACTGCCTAACTTTTTGTGACCATGGTTTCGAATCAGCATTTCTTTAGTGGCGATTCTTTTTAACTTTCAAAGCACTTCCAACGCTTTACCCAGCTCTCTTTATACATCCATGGTTAAGTCAGGACCTACGCAGACTTCCTGTTTGAGATAATAGACTTGTCTTAGCCAAAGATCAATAAGCTCAATGTTATTGCTCTACCTTAGTTCATCTAGTAGCTTACTGAGATAAGTCCAAACATGTTTTGCCTAATTTACTGTAAGGCTAAAATCTGCATTTTCAGAGCATATTATCGTCTGATGATTTTAAGACTGACTGACAGGTGTTTATATGATGAGCCACGCTGCTTTAGATACAAGGAGAGAAACCAGACATGATGCTTTCTTAATTTCCTCATAAACATCAATCATCCAACCGGTATAATGGGGGTGTAGCTGAAAACCAAGCATCAACCAGCAGTAGAATGCTTTGAAAACAAGAATTTGATTGCATAAAAAACACTGCAATAATGTAATATAAATAAATACCAAAGAACTGGGCAGCAGCTTGAATCCAAATATAATCAGAATTGGCCGTGTCAAGAAAACAAAGTGATCGACTTATGCCTAGCTCTTTAAAAGTAGTTTTTTTAGGGGAGAAAAACCCTACACAATGATGAAGAAAAACAAGGTCAGAGCAAACAAGAGAGGACTGAATGTCCTCAAAGGCACTGGAACTGAATACCCCTGCAGTGCAGCGCGCTGAAAAACTCCTGAGCACACAGGAAAAAAAGCCAGAAACAACAGAGAGTAACAAAGTCCTCCAATCTGGAAGACGTCCTGACACGCACCGCTCTCTCGTCTATCCAACAATTGACTTTGGATCTACTTGGAAGGGGGGGTGTCAATGGAGAAGCAGGCAGGTCAAGCCTTCATAACTCATGTGAGGCATGAGTTGGCCAGTAATAGTAGTTTTAAAACTTGCAGTTGGCTGCCAGGAGGGGGCTGTGTGTGTGTTTGTGTGTGTCTGTGTTGTTGTGGTGTTGGGGGGGGGGTCAGGTGGCTCATGCAAGATGCCGACTGGGTCTCACTACACCTGAGTTTTGAGCGGCAGCTTCAGGGCTCCTAAATATTTCCTGCCTCTAAATGGAGCGTTTGGAAAAAGAGGGGTCCACTGAAATCACAAACAGACACAGGAAGAGAGCGAAAATCAGAGGGGAGGATGAAAGAGAGAAAAGATTGGGTTGGGTGGGGGGGTCAAGAGAGAAATCACAACAGTAAGCACAGGGCAACTGCTGAGAAAGAGGAAGTTCAGAGTAAGGACAATATGCAGCAGAGCGGTCATTTACAACATGGCAGCTGAGTGATTTTAAAATGAAGGGTCTAACTGAAACAAGCGCAATAACAGACACTCAATATGTCTGCCAGCGGACCATCCCCATTTCACTGAGAAGGTGACTCAGCTAAAATGTAGGCTATGCATTGTCATATTGACAATGGACAGGGACAACATACAAAGTTGTAGAAATCTCAAAAAATGCTTTGTATGCTGATGATGTTAATATGTACATGTAACCCTGCTGTATCAGTTCACCACCTCACACAAATATCACTCCAATTGAGTGGTGCAGTAACGACTGATTTTTGTAGGCCGACATGGAAGTTAGCATTGCAAGAGTTCCTTGCAACTCGAGAAGTAAAATGCTAAGGCTAAGCTAAAGGTGGCTAATGTTATACGTGGTGACATATAGTAGTTTATTTGGAAACTTAGCAACCACTGTTTTAAGACATGAACATATCTTAGGCTTGTGTTAACCACATCACTTATCTCTGGCTTCTAACCAATAAACACGTTGACGACGAGACGATGGACTTTTGATTCATTGAGGAAGGGGCCTTGTGCTTTTAATCAGATACAACCTTATTAATTAAAATATTAAAATATTGTTAATTTACAGGGTAGGAGAAACATCTGTGCCTTTTAGAAAATATTTGAGGGTCTAATCTGCTGTTGGGTTTCTGAAGCTTGAAATGACCTTTTAGAGAAGGATGTTTGTGTATGACATGTTAAGTCAATTATATAAATGTATCTATTTCGCTTTTCAACGATAGCTCCTGAATGAAGTACATGAGATGCTAAGGGCAGACTTTGATGCTTTGCGTTATGACACTGTGATAACAGACTCCATATGATGTTTGACAGATGTGCATGGAGAGAACTATGTAGGTTGTTTTTTTTTGCGGAGCTGTTGCATTTTAAATAGTGATCATTTATTTAGTACATTTGTTAAAAATAAAACTCAATAAACACATTACATTAAAAATAAAACAAGTTTAATTTCCTTATCAAATCCGTTTTGTTAATAAAAATGGTTGGCCGATATATCGTTGGATATTCATAACTGTGTATTAAATCCAGAATACGTTTTATAATAAAAAAAAAGTCCTACTTTACAATAATTAATATACTTCAATAACATTTTTGGATGAATTTCTCAAAAGTTTTCAGCTCCCTCCTGCAGTTGTACCTACCTTACCAGTGATGTCATTCACAGCTACGTGAACAAAGATGGAAGCCTCCTCCATACCTTCCAAGTACACATGGCGATAACCTGCACACACCAACACACACACCAGGGTTAGGAGTCAAACACAACAGGGCAGATAGAAATGTTATATGTTATATCAATCAGCAGTGAAAATACACATTTATTTATAAAAAGTATTTAGATAGTCCGTAAGGTAGCACTGTTATAGAACATATCAGGAAAAAACAAATAACTAGATAACAGGTCATTTAAAACTGAAAGGTATTGTGTTCCAAAAGACTTGGTACTGAGCTCACCGGTGGATAAGGCTTTACGCAGATGACCATTCATTCTAATTATTTAGTCCTCTCTCCTTACTGTATGAATATAAATAAAGAAAAACGTTCTCCTGATTGTTAATGCTAATTTCATAGTTATACATAAACATGAGTCAATTTATTTCAAAATAAAAGCACTCCATTGGTGTTTTTTCATGTTATTGAGCTATTTAACTTGAATTGTATTTGATCAGTATGGGATACTGTGAGACCAGTCAATGAGACAGATGCTCATCACTAAGGAGTATATACTGAAAAAACATATATAAGAAATATGTTATAGTGTATTTCATATTTAATTACTAGGTTTTTTATTTGGTGGATGCAGTGTGAAAATAAACAACAGTAAAATCTAGTTTCAGGGAAGATGGAACCCTTAAGCATGTCTTAATATATTCAATGTCGTCGTTTTTTTAAACCTTTGGACAAAGCCAGGCCAGCTTTGTCACTTTGCCTCTAGTCTTCATGCTAAGCTAGGCTAACCATGTCCCTGCTCCAGGTTTTGACTTAACCGATTCCTCTTCTCATCAAACTCCGAAGGATTTTCCAAAACTATTCCGTTTATAAACTCGTCCTATTGTAACATCGATTAAAAATAACTGCATGGGATCAAGCAGCATCTTTAAATCCTAATAAAGCATGGCAACAGTGCTCTAGGCATGACTTTCAATGAACCTCCACCAAAGCCTCTTCATTCTCTGACTCAGAACAAAAACACCATTTCTATGTCTAGAACATGAGAAACAAAATGCATTAAGAAGCTTTTTGTAAGTGACCACAAACTTTTGGAGGGCCAGGTGAGGTGGGGGTGCCCCTCTGCTCCCTCTTACCTGGAATCATGCTGTTGAAGGCGATGGTGCGCTGGCCGATGAAGTCCTGGCCGATGGGGTCATGATCCCACACGAGGAAACGCACCAGGGCGAGCTCCGGCATGTGGACGGTGAACACGATCGTCTCCTCCCACATCGGGTTGAAGCCTGAGGGACCGGTCCCGAGAGAGACAGGGGGGGTGGAGGAGGGGAGAGGAGAGAGGGGAAGGGGAACCGCAGGAGAATAATCAAGACGGATATTCAAAGAGCATGACGAGTAACAAGAAGAGAAGAGAAGTCAGTAGATAAAACAGAGAGGGAGTGAAAGAAAAGAAGAGGACAAAGAGAGTGGACAGTCCAGTAGAGTCAGCAAACTGCTCTCATCCATTATTCAGGGTGGGGGTGTGTGTGTGTGTGTGTGTGTGTGTGTGTGTGTGTGTGTGTGTGTGTGTGTGTGTGTGTGTGTGTGTGTGTGTGTGTGTAAGGAGACTGATAGGTGCTGCCTGTGCACCTCTTCTCGTGCTGAGCTCATCAATTATAGATCAGAACCCATAACACACACAAACACACACACACCAAATCATATAATATCAGGCTACAGCCGTTGTGTATTTTATTATGTGAAGCACTAAATGGTTTTAGACAAATATCGACTTTGAAGCATCAGGATCACTGTAACCAGAATTGATAATGAACTAGATTTAATTGGTGGTTTGAGTTGGATTCAATTTGTTTAAATGATGGTATTTAGTACAGAAACAGATGATTTCTGATCCACTTGAGTGTAATCACTCTTGGATGCAGCCCCTCACATCTCTGAATGCTACTGAATGACTCTACACCTTCTCAACACGATATTATATGTGTGTTTGCAATGCTTACCTCCGAGTCGGCCTACAAATATTCTTCCCTGCAACTCTGCATTATTACCAAGTCACTATCTCTCCACCAAAACAGGCCTTTTTATGGCAATGGGCCGACTTCTCTGCAGAATATGAAGGCAGGAGACCCTGAGTGATTCCCCCCCACTCACCGTTATCATCCACCACTCTGGTCTGCTCCTTGCAGCAGTCCACCGGCAGGCCGATGATCTCCACCTCCACGAAGGGATCAATGATCTGACAGACGGACGTAACAGTGTTCAGTTACTGCTTCACCAACCATGTGATTCTATGTAAAGACTTTTCAATGATCCCACTCCACTTCTTTTTGGTGAGGTTGAAAACTACCCCAGTCATGTTGACACTTAGCTATGTCTCCATCTTTTGCTGTCAATAAAGAAGCATCTCACCGGGTCAAACTTGGCAATTTGATTAATATGCATTGAGTGTTATTGCTTTAACATAACTATGTTTCTTAGTGTACAGGCAAAATGTATTATAACATGTATACCAATATATACAGCTCTGGAAAAAATCTCTCTTAAATCTTAATCTCTACATGTATGGCAGCCATTCCATTCCAGTGAAATGTGAGTACCGTAATTTTCGGACTATAAGCCGCGCCTGTTTTCCCATTTTTCGACGCTGCGGCTTATATAACGGTGCAGCTAATCTATGGATTTGTACAGCTAACGGCCACTAGGGGACCTCCTAAATCTATGGATTTTACAGGTTACAGTCCACCACCTTTAACTCTATGGGCTCTATGGCCGGTCCGCGCCCCCCACCTTTAAGCGGCGGGTTCCAGCAGGAAAAGCTGGAGGCCGGAAAAGAGTGAGACAGGTAGCGCGCGAAAGTAAAAGTGGAACCGAGAGTGGTACGAGAGACAGAACGAGAGCAAGACAGACAGACATTACGAGAGCGAGACAGTTTGTCCCCGTACCACTGGTTGAAAACTGCTGCTGTAGATCACTGCCGGTACGTGCGCTGGGAGCGCACCGTTTAAGTTTGAAAGTTGAAAAGTTTGTGTGTCTGAAACGCTATGTGATACAGTACAGTTTACACAGCACAGTACATGTTCTGTAACTACTATTGCACTAAATGGTAATACTTGAATACGTTATGCAAATATGCAACTTGTTTGTTGAAATGTTAATAAATGGGAGCTTCCTCAAACAGCCATCTCTTTCCCGACAATCCCCTCTGTGCACGAACCCTTACATATGGTAATTAAACATTAAAACACCTGCGGCTTATAGTCCAGTGCGGCTTATATATGTACACATCATTCAATTTAGCTGCTGCGGCTTATATTCAGGTGCGCCTTATAGTTCGAAAATTACGGTAGTTTATAAAATATATATTTAATTTTACTCAAACACATACCTATAAATAATAAAACCAGAGAAACTGATCATGCTGCAGTGGTCTCTTAATTTGTTTCAGAGCTGTATTTTGCATATTTAAATAACTTTAAAAAGACCCCGGAGTGGTCCTGTGTGTTACCTCTCCCCGGTCCCCCAGCATAGAGTCTTTGGGTTTGGGCAGCTGCTGTCCGCTGATGATCTTCAGCACCAGCTGCTTCTTCATCTGATCTGGTAGAGGCTCCTCCAGGTTGGGGTTGAAGGTCCCTGTGAGGGCAAGAAACAGAAAAGTACATGTTTGATTACCTTCACATACAAAGTTCAACTCTAAATTCTGAAATGAACACATTTTCATCCAAAGCTAGTTACATTGCTGATCATTATGATCAGATTTAAAACAGCAAGTCCATCCAGCAAGTTTCATTGGAATAGTCTTTTAAAGTCTTTTAAAAATGACAGCTTAGTTGAATATTCTAAGCTGATTGGTTGACACATTCGAACATTCTGCGGTCTGCTCTTTTCCGATAGAAGAGCGCTACTAAGCAGGAACTAAAGTGTGTGCAGTCAGATCAATCCGCAGAGTTTGGTCACTTTAATGTCAGCCTTGGCAAGGAAAGGTTCAGGAAGATTGAAAATCCTTCCGTTTCGTGTCGGGATCCTGCTCACCCTGTTGGTGTTCTTTTTACATTGATGACCGGCTCGTTACATAATCCCTTACATATAATACAAACCCTGTACCAAAGAACATTTATATAGTCGAGGTTACAAATGACATAAGCTGCAAATAATAAAATGCCCATATGGGAGCATACATTTTGATACTATCTACTTGTGACACCAATAATACAACATTCAAAATGATGAATAAGCCATCAGTGAAGAGGTTTTTCCCATTTCCATGCACCTCAGATTTAGTGAAATTCCTATTCAAAGACCAAATTAACATCATAGTAAAATATACTATAATACTGTTCTTTATACGTATTCTAATGCCTATACATAACATAACAAGCGGGGCAGCTAAACCTACTTGTTAATTAATGATGTCAGTATTCCTAAGGTCTTCAATAGACCCAAACTGAAATGCTGCTAATGACTCATGTCGCTGCTGACCTTCACACATGCAGGCGGGCTTCAGGATGTAGCCACAGTTCCCGTTGCTGTAGAACTTGGCTCTGTTGAGCTGCAGGACGCGGCCCTCTGATTGGTAGTTGAGAGCGACTGAAATCAAAGCAGTTCACCTTGTTATTGTCAGCCCTAAAAAAAACTGGCAGGACAGAAAATAATGGTGGCAGAGCAGAGATGAAGCTCGTACCCAGCTGGCAGCCAGCGCTCCAGAAGGGCTGGGGGTTGAAGTTGGAGGAGTCCACGCGGTACGAGGAGGGGTAGATGCGGGACAGCTGCCTCTGGTTGAAGTGGATGAAGGAGGTGGCTTTCTGCTGCATCACCTGGTGGGCTTTGGTCTCACTGAGCGACGACACCTGCCAGCTACAGGAGGCTGACCACAGAGACATCAAATCAAACTTTACTCATATAGCACTTCTTTTAAATAACACAAGTGCTTTACAAAACATAAACAAAACAAATATGAAAACAATACTACACACCCCTTCACAGGTTATATATACCGAGTACCGCATAACTTTGTAATTGATCAAAACACTTAATACCAACAGAAGCCAATAAACACAGGACTGAATAAAACAATATAATATAAATAAATGAGTAAATGAATGAATGAGTAAATGAATGAATGAATACATTGATAAATAAAGGAATAAAATAAGAATAACATTTGAGTAAATATAATTCAATTAAAAGACTAATTAAAATGATGAATGTTTTTCTATTTATTTTCAACATCCTTTTACATTTGTCTGATAACGACAATGACCAACTGCAGTCAGTGTTCCCTTAATTTAACTTGAAGGGATTTAAGATACCTTTTGTATCCTGATTAAGTAATCCCATTACATTTAGTCCGTAACTTCCCTAGCCTGCCAGAAAGTGGTGTTTTATATCCGCTCCACTCTGTTAGCACTTAGCCTCAGGTTAGCAGAAGCGCTCACGTTGTGCCTCGATGTCGTAGAGACCCACGGAGCACGTGTACTTCACCAGATCAGACAGAGCCCGGGACAACTTCATGGTCTTCTTCTTTCTGGAAGGTTTAACAAGAAGTCAAAGGTTACATTAAACACAGAAATGTAAAGTAGGGCTGTCACATTCTCAGACTTGCATTACCGCAATATTATAACCGTGTTATCACTATTGTTGTAGTACATTTATCATCAAGTGTCATTTACAGTAAGTATATAACTTCCTTCTCTGGTTTGATTTTCCCGCGGTTTGAATTCACATCTAGCTACTTCATTTTCACTTCCTTAGAATAGACAGAAGGCTGTTTCTACGACCATTGTTAGGATTGTACTGACCATGTATGCAAGTTTCAAACATCTGGCCAACACTTCATGTAATGTATATTGCCTTGCTGAGACCTTCCCCTTTCTTTGTGTTTTGAGTGTATAAAGTGCTTGTATTTTCTGTTTTACGTGGTCAGATCTTGGTGCTACTGCTAGTGCAGGACTGCCCTTCCAGCTGGATATAAGATTGATTCTGTTAAATGCCATAACTCCTTATTAAATAACACTACTTTGGTTTAAGCTTGTATATTTGTTCTTTTCTTACCAGAAGGTGATTAAGCATGGAATTTCCACCACAACTATATATATCACGTGAGATTCTTACGGACGGCACGAATTACAAAGTATATATAAGAGAACACCATTCAAGTCCTACTTGTCCCGGAAATTTTGGATTATAATTATCCTGGATCTTAGATATAAAGTAGTTGACGCAAGTGTCTCAGTAAGTAACGTAACTTGTCCAGTAAAAAAATGGTGTCTAATCTGGTAAAAAGCTGTTTTGTATTGAATGTAATTGGGACCTGCCTGTTTTGGGTACGAAACTTAACGCCCATAGAGGTTGTAATATAAAGTCTACAGGAGACGTCTGGAAGGCTACCCCATACGTGACGAGTCACGAGTGGTAGGACTCCGACCAGACGTCCAAACCCCCACCAATTTCCAGTTACGAGTAACCTGTAAAGAGCAGTGGAGCTAGGTATTAAGGGTAACAACTCCAGATGATTTATTTAAATGTAACGAAGTTACAAGGTTTGAAGTGTAAGCCAAAGAGTATGTCGTAGAGGAGATATCACTTATACACATAAGTGAGAGACAGGATGTGCCGAGGTGAGGCGAGCTGGGGGGGGCGGGGACACCTCGGGTGACACGAGACTACACACAATAACAATGTTGACCGTAAGCAACAATCGTTGGTCCTTTACTGCTGGTCATTCATGTGTTGTCTACTCTGTAGCGACGTCACCCCAGACCCACGGCACACCGGCCCTTTTGCAACGGCCCGAGCGAACGAGCGCGGGAAACTCTGAGGCTCCTATAGCTTACTTACACCAGAGTCGCTTATTCTTTTCTGTGATTTCTAGTTTCTTTAATCTCCGACAGGAGGGGGTTGTCGGGGGAGTTCAGACGAAGTGTATTAGGTAAAAATTTAACAGATTGGATGAGTAGATTAAAGTGCGCAATATGTCTGGCCAGAGTTATCTTACGGTCGACGGGGTGATTTTTCGTAGGACTAACGCTCCGTGCTGTATAAGTCTGGTCTCAGGTATTGAGGGTCGTCGGGAACACACTACAATGAGGCCTAGTCACACCACCATGACGAGGGGGGGGGGGAGGACGTCTGGATGTAGGTTGTCCTTTCGTCCACCTCTTGGACCGGTTCTTCTTTCGACCTGTTTGGACTAACTTCCTAGGTTCTAGGCTCTGTCTCTTCCTGGCGGCGTTGTGAAGTGGGTAACGTCGGGAGGGGGGTGGCCACTTCTGGTGGGTTTTTCTCAAGGGGTTCCCATTCTGAACGCAAGGTTTTGCTAAATAGGCAAACTTTCTTGTTAATTAGGAAGACGTAGCAATTCCTTTTCGAAAACAAAGTACTTCGTATAAGTCCCGGGTATCAGGATAGTGGTTTTACGTTTCGTGTACTCGTGTATGATGTCAAATTTTTTCGCGTCTTTATGTTAGACTCGATTGCCTTTACGGAAGGCAAAATCAAATGTATGTGTGTCAATCGAGTGTGTGCTGTAAAATCACTTGGTATGGCATCCAAGTGGGAACGACTTAATACCCGGTGCCCTTCCTTGCAAACACCCGGAGAGACGACCTTGACCGATGGAGGCGCTGGGCTGGTGCCTATCGCCGCTCTTCTGAGACCTACCTACATTAGTTACGATCTATTAGGTATCAATAATCTATTAGTTTGTCATTAGACTAAAGGGATAAGAAATACGATTGACCTTCCTTATGTAATGAAAAAAGTAGGACTATTGTCATTAGGAGAATGACCAGTACAGTACGACAAAGAGGTGGTCGGACAAATATATTTCCGAAAGTAAAAGGTGTAGTCGGCTGGGCAAAGAGCAAGGGTCTCCAAAATCCCCATCAAGTCCAAAAATAACAGTGTAAAGTCTGTAGTGCCTTACTTCTATTTGGGGTCGTACGGAACCCAGTATGTAGTAAAAAGGTACAAGTCCAAGGGACACATTGACAAGGAATTACAGATCGTCTCTCATTGTCAAAGAAATTATTCAAGAGAATGTGTTAGAGGTCGTAACAGGATTGATTGGACAGAGGAGACGACACGGTCCCATTCTCACTCCTCCCCTGTACTGTGCCCCCTGCTCCGATTGAGGGACGTCGGTTGTTCTCCTGTCCTGCGAGGAAGGTACCCTAAAGGAGATTTACGTTCCAAGTCGAAAATGAAACTTCTGACAAAAAGGTTATAGGGTGGGTGCAACTACTCTTGTGTCCCGAAGGTCAAAAGTTGAAATTAGTGTGACATGCGAACCTTAAATACAATTTTTGGTATGATTCTTGTGTGTATAGTAGTTACTGTTCTTCGACAATCATGCTCCTGATGAGTAAGACTAAATACTTTGATTTTCTGGTTATCCCTGATTAACGCAATCAAACACAGAAACGCAAAGTACTTTGGAGATTTTCTCTATTGAACACAAGGTTCTTTTTGTCTACGTTGGAAAAACTAAGATTTTCATAGTAGACATACTTCCAACAATGACAGAGGCCATAAGAGACCGAGGGAAGTGAAAAAAAGGGGAAGAACGTCTTCTTCCAGTGGTTCCGACTTTTTCCGTCCTCACTCAAAAGCTGTTCTGTCGCCAGCCTGTGCCTAGTCCTCTCATTGCTTGTCGCGGAGGCCCGGGGAGACGTAGTGTTGTTCATGCGATGTGTGTTGTGTGTGTGTGTGTGTGGTGTGTGTGTGTGTGTGTGTGTGGTGTGTGTGTGTGTGTGTGTTTGTGTGGTGTGATGTGTGTGTTGTGTGTGTGTTGTGTGGTGTGTGTGTGTGGTGTGTGTGTGTGTGTGTGTGTGTGTGGTGTGTGTGTGTGTGTGTGTGTGTGGCGGCCGTGTGTGTGTGTGTGTGGTGTGTGTGTGTGGGGGGGCGGGGCGACGACTCAGTGGGGGGTGTGTTGGTCGTACAGTATCGGTATAGTGGAGAGTCCCCTGTGTAATGTTCGAGCCTGAATGTACGTAAAGGATCTCTGAATAGGATGTGGAATCTGGTATTGGGTTGTGTCACGATTTGGAATTGGCGAATGGGATTGGCTTCGAGTGGGATTTTAATTACTAAGGGGCGAGTACCCCTGGGGAAGGTAAAACCAAGGTATTCCCTCCGTCCAGGTGTGTGGCGTCCCGGCACTCGACCACATTTAGTCTAAACCAGGGGGTGTTCCTATTCATTCTACGATCCCTTGTGGTGTGTATGTGAGGTGGTCGGGGGATGTTGTATGTATGTATTATGGTAATGTCATGTATGTAAGACTGTGATTAATGTTGATGCAAATCGGATGGCGTTATC